AGTACTGGAAATAATCTATATTAAAAATATAGGTTATTTCCAGTACTGGTTGTGCACACATACACTATACACAGATTTTCCGTAGTAGCAGTGAATACTAGAACGCAGCCGGAATCTGTCAAATATTCCGAATCGTGTGCCACACAGAGCTACGTCTCGTGTACCGAGCGCACATGTATGACATGTGCCGCGTTTTGACAGTGAGCACGATATATCTGTCTTCGTCTAACGATTGCAGCGCCATCTCTTGCAAGATCCGGTAGCTACTACTAACGCAATATGGCTCCTTGTATTATACTGCATCTAAATTTTCATGTACAACTTTTTCTATTACAATAACTTTTTTTCTAGGCCTTCAATCTTACTTCTAATTGCACGATATTGTTCGGAAATGTTGTCCCTAGGGGTCTCTGGTGTCATTTTGTACCTATGAACTGTAGTTGTAATAAAAGCAAATGTTCTCGTCAAGTGACAATTCTAATTATTATTTTTTTGTTTCTGGTACAAAGATGACCAGCCCTCTCTTCATTTTTGTGCGTACTTTCATTCTGCGCAAGAATTTTTCAATTCTGTAAAGCTAATTAAAAGTTATTCTAATAGAAAAAAGTGTCGGTATAGTAGTCACTCCAGCTTCCCCTTAATACTTTTTTAAACAGAATAATGAGTCAAATCAACTGGTATAAAGAAAACACACAATTGTTAAAAATTTTTTTTTATTACTTGTTACGATTGTGTTTTCTATTCTATAAATTCACATATAATTCTATCAATTTTGAGTAATAGAGTTGTTCATTATTAGAAAGAAATATATAGAAATTAATATTAGAAAGAAATAACATATTGTAGTTTATAAATTTGCTAGATAAGAAATTACTCAGTTTGTATCTTGGCATGTCGATGAACGGATCCGCACCGTGATCTGCACCGCAGAATCTCGATCACTTTCATGTGATCGTGAAACACGGTGACATGTAACGGTATGTATCCAGAAAAGTAATATTACAATAGTATTACGAACTGTTTGTAATTATAAAATGGTTATAAAGTTATAAAATTTTAAAAGGGCTAAAATATATGCACGAATCTTGATTGTGTCTATTTCTCTTTAAAATCCTATTACATACTTTCGTACACAGTCTATAAAATCTGACATTCAAGAAGTTAATTTTTCGCCCAGTATAGTAAACAACAGATTATGATTTTAAGTCAAAAGAAGAAAATAGAACGAATCACAGTCATCTTAGATGTTTTATTTGGGATACTTTTGAGACAAAAGCTTTCCGTTTGAAGTAACTAAAGCAAATCCACATTACTTTATATTGGCGCTGTAGTTTTGTTGACCGCATCGTGGACATCGTTCTGCTTAAAAGGTGCTAACAAGCGTACGGCACCTGCGGCTCGCGCAGCCTCCGCGAGATCTGCCGCGGATTGTCCCAGCATGTCGACACAGCGCGGATCCTCACCGTGATCTCGCAGGAACTCAATCGTTTTCACGCGATCGTGAAGCGCGGCGAAGTGCAGCGGTGTGCGCCCAGAAAAGTCTTTCAGTGATAGATCGGCGCCGGCCAGCAAATACGACTGCAGACGCTTCGTATTTCCGGCGGTCGCGGCCGAGCACATCCTCTCGCTGATTAGCACAGCGTCGCCGTGAAGATGCGCCCCACACTGCAGCAACATCCTGATGATCTAAAAGATTGCGTGGAAACGCATTTTCAATAATGGAAAATCCCGATCTGCTAATTAAAATCAAATAGCGACATTTTCGCGAAAGATATTAAAGATTCTGAGACTGAGATCTTTGTTGTATCAATAATATAATAATGTCAACAATTTATTTTTATTTTATAATTCAATCGAATATCTAAATTTTTTGGAAATATAAATAAAGTATTATAAAAAAATAGAATTACGAAATAGAACGTGGAAGATAAATAGTATTAGTTATGGTAAGGACGATAGGAGCCTTTGACGATTTTTTTTATCCGATATTTGAATGTGTTTTCACCTAGATAGAAAAAAACAAGAACACACCACTTGGTTCTTTTGAATATTAAATATCGACAAATTTAATTAATGTTAGAACGTTTTGGTTACTAAAGGTAATTTATAATAACCCTTTTCAATGACAGGTATTTTAAATTACATGAAAAAATAAACCGCAATATTATCACCATAATTAAAAGTACAATCGTAACGCTGGTTGTTACCCTGGTTACAGAGATTTTTTGCGATTTAGGTGTTAACCGAGTTGTGAAGAATTGTTGCTTAAAATTGATACCGTCCTCCGATGTCCATGAGTTACGTGCATACCAACATTGAATACGTCGTACAGGCGCCTTTACCATAATTAATACTATTGTTCTTATACAGAGCCTTCATTAATATAATTGTGGAAGATAATTTCGTGAGAGAGCGATCTCACCTCGTGACGATCGTATTCGATCGCATCAGTAAGAGGCGTGCGATTAAATCGATCTTTAATGTGAACATTTGCTCCCATTTCTAAAAGACGTCGCACGACCTTTATATCCCCCTCGCAGCAAGCTATGTGCAAAGCTGTTCGGCCATCTGCGTTCGCCTGCGAGATATCCGCGCCCTAAATAGAAAAGCCGATTAATGTAATAGATAACTAAAAAATAACCTGTTCTCAAGACACTGTAAATTTATAATATTTTTATATTACGATATCAGCTTAATATCGATATGTCAGAGGTTAACATTTTTCTAGTGTAATTCTATTCTATCTTTTAGATTTGGGATTCTTATTACTAAAGGATTACTGTTACGGAAAAACACAATTTGGACGATGTAGAAGAAGAAGTAACGTCTAAAAAATATCTAAATTTTTTAGATCTTTAATTTGTTTAACTTTTGCCTCCCCAACGGGGATTTGTGAACTGAACCACGTAAAGAGATAGTATTGTATCTCTGTATAATATAATAATAGCATACCCAGACAACATGCATGTCTAAACGACGTCTTAAAGACGTCTTAAAAGAGACATCTTTAAGACTTTACTAAAAGACGTCTATAAGACGTCAGAAAAAAACGTCTTAAGACATTGTCAAAAAGACGTCTTTACGACGTCTTTATAAAAATATAAAATATTGATTATATGTCAAGTAGTGTTTAGGGGATGCTAAAGCCGCTGGCGAACTCGATTAGTGTCGATAAGATAGGAGATCGCGTCAATTATCGATTTTTTTTATTTCCAAATTCTACGTTAGATGTCGCTTCTGACCGGCCTCGTGTGTATGCATGTAATAAAATGCATAAGCAAAATCAGTGCCATAAAAAAAACGCTTTTGGCACTATTAGTATACTAATACCATCAAAATAAATGCCCTGATTTGCATTATAAT